GTAAAGATGACAATTTGCTACAAAGATTTTAAAGAATTTATAATTTTATAATATTAAAAATCTTATTATTAGGATTGATGATAAGAGTTCAACCCTCTACGACAACCAAATATTAGAATTGATTTTATTTTTATTTTGATTTTTTTCCCTCATTTTAGAATAAAAACTTTCTTATCCCATTATATATATTTTCGGTCGGATTCTTATACCATTATATAAATTAGATTTTTCCAGAAATGTTCGTGGTTCATTAATGGGTGAATTTATTGGGTAGTCATCCAACTTTATCGAAATCAACATTTTGGTTATTCAACTCATAACTCTAACAAAATAAATTGTCGCGTAGGATATGACGTTACATTAACTGATGATGTGGCACTCATTGGCGGAGCTAAAGGGTTGAAACCAAACAGTAGTCTAAAATTTTGGCTCGGCTAGAGCAATGCTAAGGACAGTCGCCCTTCGCCACCCGCTCCGTCACGATCCCCACCGTGTTGCTATGTAGCACCAGTATCAAATCCCTAAACCGGGAACTGATTTCATCTGGTGACTTAAGAACTTTTCCCCTTTCTAGTTTTAAGATGGATTTAAAGGGTTTTTTCAAAAGAACATCCTAAAATCGAATCTGCTCCCCTCCTCCAGTCCCTACCTCTTCCTTTGAGACCATGAATGGAAAATCCAGAACTTGTCCCTGATTTTCAAGGCAAAAATACAAGATTTCTTTAAGCAAAGAAAAGGGAAACCAATCAAAATTCAGAGAACTTGACCCCTCTCTGATCTTTCCCATCATCTTTAATCCTTGATTGCCTCTGCAATGTTGGGTAGGATTGTGAAAGTGAGGTGAAGAAGAAACCCATGCTATGGGTAAAGGGGAAGAGAGAAGGAGATGAGAGAGAAACGTTAATTGCTGTTTGTATTCGTTTTTTGGTTTTATGGAGCGAGTGGTGAAGGGCAATTGTCCTTAGCATTGCTCTTTTGGCTAAATCCATACTTCAATTCTTTCCATCGCAGCTGATACTTGAAAGCTTTGAATGGATCGCCTCTAGTTCCAGGCAGGTAAAGCTTTCCCGTTCGCTGAATTTTTTGTTTTCAATTTTAGGAATTCAATGCACTTTACCTATTCTATTAATTTCTTGTTCCTACTGTATCACTGTAATCCCTGAACTGTAATCCTTACATCAATCCGATGACAGGTGCTTTTCTGAAGCTTTGAATCGATTTTCCTGTTTTCTGAATGTTGTATTGTGTTTTTGTTTTTGATCCCGATGATTCAATTCGTTCTGCCTGCTCGTGTTTGGTTTTGAAACTCATTTCTAAGATTTCTAGCATTTTGTAGAATTCACACCTTAAATTTTAACCATAAGAATGTATAGAATCTTGCAACTGCTTTTGATTTCCATGGTTGAATGCGTTTTTACTTTGTGTTGTGATTTCAAACTTGTCCCATTTTGTAGAATTCATAACTTAAATTCACATAGAAGTGTCTAATTGTTGTAGTTATTAATTTGGTAGTAGGGTTAAAGGTTGCAGTAGAGTGGTCATGGATCGGCTCAGTCCTTCTGCACGTCCCATAATAGTTTCTGATCTTGATCATACAATGGTCAGTTTCATAATTTCTTGCTTCACTTCGGAGTGATATCGTGCTCGTATTGCTATTAGTTACTTGAATTGGACATGGTGCTCTGTCTGCAGGTTGATCATCATGATGTTGAGAATGTATCCCTACTCTGCTGCTACATATATCATGCCAGGTGGAAATAAAAAGTCCCTGCTATAGTTTGGAGTGTTGGCTGATGGTTTAACTTGAGTATAGGTATAGATAGAAGTATATAGCTAGCTTTTATTGGGAAAATTAGGAAAGTAAATTTATCCTGAAATAATAAACTGAAGAAAACTTTTAGCTTAAATGCTTGACCAAATTGTACTGTGTAGCTGTACCTAGAACCAGTACTAAGACTAAGTTACATTTTAGATCTACTTTGATTGGAACCTACTGACATTTTGCATCAACTTTTATTGATTTTTTTTATCTAATGAATCTATTAAGAAATGCTGTTTCCACTTTTCATTTCTTGTTGGAATACTTTATGATCTATGTTCAGAAAGAACCACCAATTTTAATTCCTCTTTCTTCAGGATCCATCTCCTGTAACTGTCCATCCATCTGGTGTTGAGAAAACTCTACATGAATGCATACATTAATTGAAAGGGTGGTATGGAGACAAGCAAGGAAAAAAGTTTCAGGTTTGGGTGGATTGTTTATTATCTACACAGATTGGTTCAAGCACATGGCTGGTGAATTTCGATAAGTGGGAGCAGTGTGGTGAGATTTCTTTATATGCTCTTCTATATCTGCTCAATCTTTGCGTCTTCTCAATTTAAACTAGATGTCATATCTGTGCTAATTGATTTACCTTTCTTGCATTCATCTCTTTGTGGATATGGTAGTAAATGTCTCTCCAACTTGAAAGACCAGTAATAGGAATTTGCATGTGAACATAATTGCTTTTGAGCCCTTGATTTCCCTTTTAGTATATTTATATAGAGACCAATCCATGGGTGGTTCTTAATCTGATAAATGCTGCCTTAGAACAAAAGATTGTTTTAAACCTTTTCAAAGGCTTTGGATGTCATGGCATTTCAAGAATCCCAAGACAACAGTCCCAAGGGTTAACTTGTCATCCAAATGCTTCATTTTATATATTTTCCTTAGGCAAAAAAGAGAAAAATATTTCAAATTCAGATATTAACTATTACTTGTAATATAAGTGTACACCAGAGACTGATTACAAGCTAGCTCATATTTAGGGCTGTTACTAACAGTTAGCTTTTCTACTCATAATCTTGTGCTGACTTTTGCAGGTAATGTGCGGTGTTGTTGTGCAACCACTGGAAAAATCAGAGCTAAGGTAAGAAAGCTAGAAAATTATAATTTATAAACCAACTTTTCGTAATGATTTGCTTCGATGATTGATTTGTGGTTTTTAGGAAGGCGATGATTCACATGCATTCATTCGGATGCATGTATCGAAAATGAAAGACCATTCAATCTGCCTGTTCTAGATTGATATCAGATAATATCCCTGACCTTTCCAGCTCCAGAGTATTCTTCAGTAGTCAATTGAAGTAAATGTACTAATGATTTTAATATCTCATTTCTCATATGTAAAATTATACACAACCACAAGATATCAAAGATTGTTTCTTTCGTAAACTTTGAGTAATACTTCTTCAGTATATAAATCATTGACATTTCTTTTTTTTAAGAACAACAATCATTTGTTTACTCAGTTGAGTTTAGAAATTTGTATATGGATCAAATCTTAAAACTTTGCTTGAGTTGAAGGTATACACAAGCTCAGTTATAATCAACCACCAAAGAGTCCATCCAATACAACTGATAATTTGAATTTGAATAAAGATCACAAAGATAATAACGAGCTTTTCTATCTTTTGAGGATTCATGGATCAAACATCAATCTGCGTACGTAACACATTCAACTAGTATTCTTCCCTCTATGTGCAATTAAATGGAAAATAATCAAACTCAAAAATAAATCAAGCAACTCACAAGAATAAAAAATCATCACATCCACAAAATCAAAACGTCAGACTTTTTTAATGTGAAAAACCTTTAAAGGGAAAAAAAACCACAGGACCTAATTCAGTAAAAAAACATCTGCTATAAAAATAACATTATTACAAAGTTTCATCTACTCTAGGAAACACTAAAAGTTATACACAACAATAAATCATCAAGAATAAAGTGTTGGATAACTAATGTCATAATCATCACCAAAATAAAGCTAGAAGTCAAAATCTCCAATCAAATTGGGAATCCCATTAAGTGTGTTGAGTGTGTCTCAAGAGGAGTTGGAGACCAAATCACTGTTGATCATCTAGCAGAACCATAACTCCTCTACTAACCTTCCTACTACTGTTGCAACTCACTCTCGCTGTCCCTCTACTATCTTCTACAATGTTGATCAAAACCAACCATTAGCCGTTATTTAAGCTCCATTGACTTGATACATTCAAAGTCCAAGCTCCACGCAGTTCATGTATGCGTTCATGAAGAGTTTTCCCAACATCAGATGGATGGATACATACAACAGAAGAATCCTGAAGAAATAAGAAACTAAAATAGTTGGTTAACATAGTTGAGTATGGCATAAATTAACCTAATAATAAGTTCTCCTATAACTAACAACTTGATTTAAAATTTTAAAATTTGCGCACATTAAAGGATTAAAATGTGATGATGCACCTAAAAATGATTTGTGCATAATGTTGCCTTGAAGCTTTACTCCATCCACCTTTATTTATATCCTCAAATTGTCCTTGATTTAGGAATTTGATCAAGGGAAGTTACTGAAAAAACTCAAAGGAAATCCATGTCCTACAAAAAATGAATTAAAGCTTAGCATTATCTTGATGAAAGGATAGAGAATCACTCAGAAAAATTGAGGGATGAGAAAGTGAATTCAGCCTTACCAGAGAGGGCATTCCTGGAGGGTAGAAGATTATAGCTTCAAGCCTACAACTATGACAGATTTGTGAACACCACCATTTTTACCAAGTTGCTAGATTTTGAAGCTACTTTGCAAGTCAGCCCACTGTTAAGTAAAGCAACAGTGTTTGTGTTGAAATTTTGGCTAACTTAGGATGAATAAAGAGAGAACACAGCACACATTGTTGGATCATTCATTTCTAACTCATCATACTGGAAGCATAATCTCCCAAATGAAAAGCAACATTAATGTCAAAGCATCCATCACCTACTTGTTGAAGAAAGATCTTGCCTAAAAAGGGAGGCTTGAACTTGGAATCTTGAATCAATCACCTTTTAACTAACTCTGTAGTTGACTTGAAAAAGGTAAAGGGTTTAATTAGATGCTATAAGACTTAAGACATGAATTAAGTTGGACGTTACAAAGTAGTAGGGAAGCAATCACTAAAATTATGGGAAATGTGAGATGAATAAGAAGATGGGATGGAGGCAAATAAGGGAACGTGTGGGAGACTAACTTCTTGATATCTACCTGATCTCCATGCATTGGAATCAAAATTAAGATAAGAAAAAATGTTAAAAAATAGCTGGTAAAACAAATACAAGACAACAAAAATCAATTAGAATCGAAATGAGCAAGCACATTGCATTTCCTTTTTTCATCAGCAAATGAAATTATTAAACGGGGTACAAGCAGTACCCCTACAGTTTAGAGTATGCTCATAACTTCTGGCACATAAAAGGGAAAAGGGAGTCACAAAACAAAGGGCTCCTACATAGGCCTAACAAGATTTTGCTATGTCCTCCACACAAGCAACTAGGAACATGAAAAAAAGGATGGGAAATTAGAAAAATCAAAGGCAAAGACTGAAATTTGACAAATAATTCATTTAGAGTTTGACGACGACAAAAAGCATATCAATTGTAACATAGAAAGGAAAGATGGATAAGTGAATTGCTTAAATTAAATCGAAGTAAAATAAAAACACAAAGCTACAGAAATCTATAAGATCTGGAAAAAAATAAAATAAAAACTGCAGAATAAATTACAGTAATTTAGACAGTCTTCAATGCAACCAATATGTATTAATCAAGATAAGGAAGCAACGAAAAATGATCATTTAATTCTAAGGCAACTAAAATCATAGGTAGCAGAGGAATAGACTAGTATATCATCAAAATGTATAACTTTGCTCAAGTAAAATGAAGTATAGAGATAGCCTGATATATCAGTTTTGATTCCTTATCCTCAACAATAACAATAGCAAAGCAAATAGGTATCACAATAAAATTTTAAAAGGTAGTCTAGATGCTTATAGGTAAGTTCTGCTTTCCCAAATAAAAAACTTGTAAAACTGCAGCTTGGCTTAGTCAGATTACAAGCTTGCTTAATTCAGCAAAGGCCATCCACATTCCAGTTCCAGCTTACAGAAAAATCTCATTTGAACATCAACAACTCATTGCTTCAAAAATCTTCCCAATTCTTCAGAATGGAAAACATTAACTCTTACAGTAATTGAATTGAAAATTGAAATTGGTTGGCTTGCCTAAGAACATCATTTTGCAAGTAGCAAGCTCCTTGGTGGTTGTGAATTTCCCTAATGCCAAGGCCAACCACTCATCCCCTTTCAAAATGATCTGAAAGCATAAGCCATTTTTGAAGAAAGTGAATGCATGCATGTTTTCAGAGGAAAATAAATTTAAGGTAGATAATAAATAGTACATAATAATATACAGCTGATGAATCCAAGGAATGAATGACGTACCAGTAACATTGAAGAGTTGCTTGGCTTTATTTACCTCAATCACTGGGGTAAAGAAAACTCTGCAAAAAGGATTTGCGACGCATATAAGAAAAGGCAACAAAATTTAAAGTGTTATCTATTATAATTTTTTCTAAATTCTCATATGAAAAGCATAAAATGATGATGCATGTTTCAGTTCACTCCAAGCTCTTATTACTTATTACCTTATCTGAAATTATCGTAACGTCGGGGATGTTCCTGGTGAAAGTCCAGTAGTCTCCTTTCTCCTCAAAGCGCTGTCGTTTTAGATGCGGACACCCATGGATGTATAGTTGACCAAGTGAAGGAGGGAAGGCTTCCTTTGGCAAAGATTGTAGCCTCGGGCAGTTATGTATCCATAACTCTTGAAGGGAGCTTAGGTTTTGGAAGAGCCCCCCAGGTATGGATTCCAAATTTTCTTCAGGCACGATCGTAAGCTTAGTTAAAGAAGAAGGCAGCTCAATTGTCAACTGTTGAAGAGAAGTCAAAGCCCCACCCGGGATTGCTAGTGTCTGAAGCGATTTGAGCTGGTACATTGTATTCGGCAGCCGCTTGAGATTCTTACACTCCAAGCAAAGCTCTGTTAAGTTTGGGGGCAAACCTCCATCTGGAATGAACTCGATGCCCGGGAAGCCATACATCAATAGCTCTTGAAGAGATTTCAGCTGGTTCATCGTATTTGGGAGGGATTTGAAATTCTCCCAACCTCCTATTCTCAAAACCTTCAGATTAGGGGTGCATAATCCCAACTCTTCTGGTAAGGACCCTAAAGCTTTACAGCGGTGAATAAATAATTCAACGAGATTGCTGACACAATCAAGGGTGGGTAAACTTTTCAATATTTTACAGTCGACAATTGTAATAGATTGGAGTCCTGTACAACGCTGCAGCATCCTCTCTGGAAATGATTCCAACCAGTCGCAGTCAATAACTTCAATTTTCTTAAGAAAAGCTAGTGGCTGATCACAATCCTTAGAAGAATACAAGCATGGAACATTCCTTATTTCCAAATGTAGATTGCTATTATTATTGTCACCATCAACATTCGGTAGAGACTCAAGATTTTCACAGCTTACTATATTCAAATGTTTAAGCGAGATGGGTAATTTGCCTCTTGGAAAAGACTTGAGAGAAGGACAACTAGAAATGTTCAACCCTTCCAGTCTCGACATCAACATACTACTATTGCTGCTACTGCTTTCATCCATCCTCATCATCATTGCATCGGGTAATGACTCCAAAGCTCCACATCCATAGAGGCTAAGATGCTTAAGATTGAAAGGCAAGAGGTTTTGCTCTATTTCTGCTCCTTCCTCCCACAGGCAAGTAAGATCCTCGCAACATTCAATATGCAGAGTCTCAAGTGTTGTCAAAGACTGTATAAAACTCCTTGGCAAGCAAGTCAGTTCTGAAATTTGCCGAATTCTAAATTTAGTGAGTGAAGTGAGATCAACCATACTCTTCAAAAGCATCGCATGGCAGCGATCAACAACCAACTCTTTAAGTGAACAAAGGTTGCTAGGTAATTGGCCTAACAACTTAGGGCAATCTTCAATCACAAGCCTATGAAGACGAGGGAATTCACCTTCACTTCCATTTGGAGAAGTCCATTCCTTCCAATTGCTCATGTATCTAAACTCTAGTTCCTCCAATAATCGAAAAGAGTCATGCTGCCCATAGAACTCAGGACCTACAGCTTCTATTGCCTTCATCCATTTAATAACCAATTTTTTGAGAACAGGTAGTCGGCCAAGTGATGGTAACAAAGTGCATCTACTACAAGAGTTGAGCTCCATGGATGATAAATTCAAAAATAATGATGGATCACAAACCCAGTTTGGGAAACTCTTGCCACCATAGCCAGAAATTTCGAGACGCTTCAAATTTGGATGAGGTTTCAACTTGCTGAGTACTGATTCATCTCGATCATCATCGAGAGCAGTTAAACACCCCCCCAACTGTAACTCTTTCAAACCATGGATCTTGTCTAGATTGGCCTCCACAGCATCTTGAACATTCAAAACATTTCTCAGACCTAAAATAGACAGTCTTCCTTGAAGTTTTGACAAGTTCTTCAAAGCAGATAATCTCATCATTCCACTTGCCTTCCCCACGATAAATGTAGACAGTGTTACAAGATTTTTAAGATTGCCTATTTCTAATGGCATCTCTTTTAAAGATGTATTAGTGATATCAAGATGATGGAGATCAATTAGATTTCCGATCATTGTAGGCAACTCAGTAAGCTTATTACAACCAGATAATGACAATGTTTGCAAGAACAGAAGATTTCCGATCGTTGTAGGCAACTTAGTAAGCTTTTCACAACCAGATAATAACAATGTTTGCAAGAAGAGAAGAAAACCCACTGAATCAGGTAGACATTCAATTTTTGTTCGAGACAAATCAATGTACCGGATATGTTTCAACTTTTCAACAAAATCTGGTAGCTTGCTTATCTCATATTGGGAAAAAGATAGCACTCTTAAGCGATTTAAAGTTGGCAAGAGATCATGCAAGATTCTGTTAGACAAATAGGAACCAAAGTAGTCAGTGGGTGCTCTTAATGATAAGAATGTTCTCAAATGCTTCAATTCTTTCAAGACTTCAAATCTTTCTGAGGTTTCCAAGTGACGTGCAGTGAATGACAAATGAAAAGCCTTCTCTAATTTTCCATCACCCATGCTACGTTCAAGATTGCAATATATTTCTCTAGCAACATCTACAGCTAAATCATTTATGAGGTCATGCATCACAAACCGCAATTCAACTCTACTTGACGGTTGAAAGAGTGATCTTGATAACAACTCTTCGAAATATTGGTGACCAATGTCCTCTGATTGTAATAGGCCCTCAGCCATCCACAATCGAACCAACTTTATTTTGTCAAATTCATAATCTTTAGGGAACAAAGCACAATAAGCAAAGCATTGCTTCAAATAAGGAGGAAGATCATTGTAGCTCAATCTCAAAATAGGAAGAATTTTAGTTTTATCTTTTGAACCCCATATATTACTGTTATATATTTTTTCCCACTCATCACGACCCTGCTTTCCCCGTAAGATGCCACCAAGTGTCTTCAGTGCTAATGGTAATCTTTTGCCCCTCTCAACAAGCTTTTCACCAACTTCTTGTAGGTGTGGGTGAGCATTAAAGTTCTCTTTCCCCAGTGCATGCCAAGTAAACAATGGCAAACAAGCATCAACTGGTAGCTCCTCTAAATTGTAGGCTTCATCATCTCCTCTCATCATCCTCCCAACCTTTTCATTTCTAGTTGTAACAATTATTTTACTTCCAGAAGCTCCTGACATGAAAGGTCTCTTCAATCTATCCCAGTAGTCATATTCCTCATTCCAAACATCATCCAATACAAGAAGAAACTTGTGCCCACATAACTCCCCTTTCAATTCCTCTTGAAGCAAAGCAAAATTTTTAAAACCAGGGTCTTTCTTAGTTACATATTCTAAAATGTCTCTTGTTATTCGAGCAACATCAAACACATCAGAAACACAAACCCATGCCTTCAAGTCAAACTTACCTTCCAATTCTTCATCATTGTAAATGATTCGAGCAAGAGTTGTCTTGCCTAATCCACCCATTCCAACGATGGGAATAACAAAATTTTGTTCAGGACTGCCTCCATTGTCGAACAACTTTTCAAGAATAGCTTTCTTATCACTATCTCGACCACACACATAATCTTCAAGAACTGTAGGCTCCTCAGGTCTTTCGGCAGCTACTTTATGAGAATTGTCAACTGTCATGGTCAACTTGAAAAGACCCAAAGTGTCCATCTTCTCTTTAATAGGCTTTAATCTAACATTCAAATGTTCCACCATGGAAATGGTCTCTCGATTGAGCTTGGCCTTAGATTTAAATGGATTCTTAAGAATAGATTTGACTTTTTGCCCCTTGCTGGTGCTGGCTTTAGAGTGTGCTGTTGAATTGGACCTCTTAGCATCATCAATCACAAACTCTTCAAGTAAGTCCTCCATATCATAAGCCAAGTTCCTGAGATCATTAAGATATAACTTTGTGAACTCGTTGGCAACTGGATTTTCTTCTGCATGTTGAAGTATAGCAATGATTTTGGGCAAAAATGTCTTCCAGCTCTCCATTTGAGCACATACTTCTTTCTCTGAACTCCGTAGTCGATCACTTAGATATCCATCCAACTTTTTAAGTAGCAACTCAAATGTAACAGATAAAAGAGAACCTCCAATAAGAGATAAGATCTCCATTGGATGAAATAGCTTTTCTGCAGAAGAGAGAAACATAATCAAGTACGAATTAAACTAACCTATTGAATATCTCACATACACTTGATTATCATCAAATTAATCATCAAATTAGTCTTTAATGCTAATGGATTGATTTAATTAGTATTGAAATAACAAGATGATAAAAAAAAAACAATCCACTACTGCATTATATATTAAGGAAAAAGTTCCTATCAACCTTACCTCCTAAAGATTATGAGAAAAATCATTTTAAAACTACGTCGTTTCAATAACTTTTTATTGAAAAAGACTAAACTACCTTATTTTTAAAGTATTCCTAAAGGTGATATTTGTCCTTTTTCCTCCTAATTTTTGGGAGGTAAGGCGGACAAGCACTAACCCCATATATTAATAATGTAAATCAATTATTATTAAATAAATTAAACATCGATATAATGTTAAATTATTAATGCACTGGATAGAAATCAAACTTAAAATCTCAAATTATTAAATGCACTTTGATAGAAATTAAACTTAAAATCTCAAGATAAAAATTATCCTAAAATTTTAATAAATTGATATGGTGTTTTTAATTTTTTTTTAAGGTAAAATTAACAAAGATAAAAATTATATTAAATTTTTTATCACCAAATAAAAATAAAAAAAATTATTATTTTATATTAAACATTTTATCTGAAAATATAACAATTAATCAAATAACAAAATTAATCAAATTTCTTAATTTCGTCTAACGCAGCTTTTTAATATTTGCAGTGATACTTTTCTTTCTTCAGTAGGCTTATGATGGTCAGTGGATGGACAAAATATAAGAGTACAATAAAGTCATTGATGCCATCAGGACGCGATTTGCTTTAGATGAATGTTTAAAAATATACCCTACAAATAATCAACACCCGTTTGCTTTAGATGAATGTTCAAAAAATATGCGGCCCTACAAAATTACAAATACCATTGTCTCGAGAGGGCAAGAAATCGCTGGATTCAATCAACTAACTTATTGTGATCATTTTAATTTTTAATTTGCATAGCGAGAAATAGAATTGAAATTTAATTAAATAATATAATATAATTCATGTTATTAATTTTAAATTTTTATTTTTTTAATAATACTTTATAGAGTTTAATTAACATACATAATAATTATATATATATATATTATATCAAATAAAATTTTAATTATCAATGATTCATTTTTAATAATTAAAATATATTATAATTTTTTAAATAAAATTAAAGATTCAAAATTTGAGTTAAATTCACTTTTATAC